CTTCGTTTCCGTTCCTGATGAGTCTCCACAGATCTTAAGGGCAGCGAGCCAGTGCGGGCTGGTGAAGAGGAAGGGAGCGAGTGCTGCTGAAGAAAAGATGACGAGCAGGTACGAGAAGATTCCCGCTTACCTGCTGTATGGTGACCCTCCTCCTCCTCCTCCTCCTCCCCCTCCCCCTCCTTCTCTCCCTCTCCTCCTTTCCTCTCCCTACTCCTCAGATTCCACTGGAGGCAACCCTACAAAGTTCGGGCGTCAAGCATGGAGATATGCTGTCAATCGTGTCAGGATGATCAACTACTCTTCCTCCCTCCGTCTGCGATCTTCCACCTTCGAACACCTCCTCCTCCTCCTCCTCCTCCTCCTCCTCCTGACCATCATCGTCGCCTTGAAGCGATCCAACATCATTCTCAAACATCCAGCCTGCAAGAATCTCGACATTTCTCGATCCCGTCGCCTGCCATGGCTGTGAGAGGCGCCTGGGACAGCACATGAACGGGCCTGCATGGCGAACATGACTTGCTCCTTGGTGAATCCCAGGTCCTTCATGGCAGTGAAGATGCTTTCATCGTCTTGTGGGTTGTGCTCCATGGCAGATCCTGCGGGTGCAGTGAGAGATCAGAGCTCAACATGTCACAGCAGGAGCCATGCATGACTCTCCACTGCCTCCAACCTCCTCTCTCCTCCTCTCAACTTTCTTTCATCCTCTCCCTCCTCCCTTTTCTCTTCTCTCACCTTTCTCCTCGCTCCTCTCTCCTCCTCGTCCTTTCACTTCTTTCATGTCATCCTCATTCTCTCCCTCCCTCTCTCCTTCCCTCTCTCCCTCCCTCCTCTCCCTCCCTCTCTCCTTCCCTCTCCTCCTGCTCCCTCGCTCTCCTGCTCTCCTAGCTCGCCATCACTGTCGATATCATGCTAGCAGACTCTCTGAGGCAGGCTTCCTCTCTCTCGGTAACTTTCTCCCCGTCCCTTTCTGTACGAGCCGGACCGACCGGCCATGGCGATCGCACTTGAAGAGCAAGTGCCAGCGCCTTGAGGAGGTGGAGGAGGAGAGTTGAGACTGTTACCTTGTCATCTTGCTGTGTGATCTTGTAACAAGCTCGTCGCGGTCTCACCAGTCACCATGACCGAGCTTCTCTTTCCCATCTTCAACGAGTACATGTCCACAACAAACGCTGCCGCAACCGCCAGCGGCGCAAGGATCCAGGCGTTCGATCTATCCGTCACGCGCGAAGACGCGAGCATGCTTTCCCTTCCTCGCCCGCTCTCAGACGCGGTCAGGGGCGAGAGGCCCCGGGCAGAGGAGCCTCGCCCGCTGTCGTTTCCTCTCAGCGACAAAGGCAGGCAGGCTCGGAGGTCGGAGAACAACTTTGACGTCGGCGAGAAGGTCTCAGCAGCCCTCCAGGTGAGGCCCAGCTACCAGCGGAGAATCGGGACCTCCGGGCGTCAGATCTCTCGAGACTCGCCGAGCTTCAGGAGGTTCATGGAGTACAAGGCGGGTGCGAGCTACGTCAACGACATCCTTCCTAGAGCCGTCAGGGCAGAGGCGCGAGACATGGGGACGAGCACGGACCCAGAGGATGTGCTGCCGGAGCTCTCGGTGGACTCAGCAGACACGAGCGACCGACACTCGGACGGCCTGGAAGTTCCAGAGGGGATGACGATGCAAGCAGTCGCCGAGATGCTGCTGGAGCAACGAGCTGAGAACAGCTCAGGGGCTGCGGAAGTAAGCGCAGGAGATGCTGCCCTAGGTCTCTCCTCCTCGTGCACCAGCGTGTGACTGATAACGCTTGACAGAGGCCGAAGTTCCTCCCGAACGTCACCTCCGAGCGGTTCAGATCCTCATGACTTGCCTGCTGAAGTGGTCGGCTCAAGCTCGCGGTGATCTCCTCCTTTCTCTCTCTCTCTCTTCCTTTGTGCTGACGGCTCGTCAGCCGCGAGCCTGGTCTTCACTCTCGAAGTCTGGAAGGGGATACTCGCATCCAAGAGGAGGCGCGCGATGGTGGTACGGCGGAGACTACATCGAGCGCTGCTGACGGAGATTCTAAACGCCTGGCTGAGGCCCGTACACCAACGGATGATCCAGAAAATCAGGTTCCAAGAGCTCAGTCGCCGTGCCCACCTCCTCCAGACGGTCCGAGCCTTCAACGGATGGAAGATTGTTGCTTTCCGCCTGCAGTTTGCAAGGAATTTCGAGTCCAAGTATCTTCACAAGCACCATGACCTAGTCTACACCTTCTTTCTCATGTGGTCTAAAGCTACCTTTGGAGCTGTCTACACCGCCAACCAACTCATGACTTCGGTAAGTACAAGACTCAACACCTCGTGCTGTTGCTGTGTGACCTTCTTGTAGTCAGAGACTGTTGCTGGCAAGGCGCTGCGGATGAAGATCAAGTTTCACTTCTTGACTCGCCTGGAGTTCTTTCGCTCTTGGTTGAAGCTTTCTAGGAAGAAGAAGCATTCTTTCCTTCAGTGCTTTTTCAAGTGATGAAACTTAGACATAATGGATATTAACATGGAATCTTGTCAGAATACATCACGCCCCTACCATCGCTGTATGTTACATCCTCCTCAAACCATCACATGGCTACGAAAGTAAGACATCATCAGAGGAAAAAACCAGACAAGCGCTGTCTGCTTCACTCTCGCGCCTGCATTCAGGTTGCAGCTATCCCCGCTGCAGCAGCCGAAGTTCATGCTCTGCAAGCGGCACGTTCAGGTTCCGAGCTCATGGCAGACTCTTTGCTTACGAGAGCGCTCGGGCATCTTTGTGGTGAGTAGGACAAGCCCAGGTAGCATGTCGGACAGCAAAACTTGGGTCCTTGGCCATTGAGGTTGTACTGCCAGCATTCACTCGTTGCCCTCCACGGGTTGACCTCACCTTAGTCCAGAAGGCATCGTCAGTTGACCACGAGCAGTCGCAGACCCGCTGGACGTCGAACATGCCTCCATTGAACGACGTGTACTGCTGACACTGCGCTGCTGACGCGCAGCCATACCTGCAGACGTCTACGGCACCTCAGCTACTGACAACAGAGCATCGTTACTAGCGCACCTATAACTATCAGAGACCCGTCCGTTGAGTTGGTGAACTCCATTCTCTCGCAGACAAACTGACACTGAGACTCCAGCGAGCTGTTGCAAGTCATGACAGGAACATCCGCTACTCGGCTGAAGGAATCGCCCGTGTAGCACTTCAACCCATCAACCCGCCCTGCCTGCCATCAGGAGCCATAAGGGAGGGATGCGAACAATCTCACCTGCTTGGAGGAGGAGGAGGAGGAGGAGGTAAGGAGAGCATAACGAGCAAGAAAAGTCGGGCGGCATCGACCCAACTTTCTTTCGCTATCCTTCCATGAATACGGTTACCCTTTCATCCCCCTCATTCACTATCCAGGTCCCCCACATCCCCCCTCATTCCCTCTCCCTCTGTCTTCTCATCAATGCAGGCGCTTGCAGGGTACGCGACCAAGTTCGAGGTGGTGCGGGCAGGGGCGGGCCAGGTCGTCAAGAAGGGCTCGACCGTCACCGTCCATGCTACCGGCACGGTCAAGGAGTCGGGCTACAAGTTCTGGAGCACCAAGGACCCAGGACAGTCTCCGTTTGAGTATCAGGCGGGAGTCGGGGGGGTCATCACAGGATGGGACCAGGTGCGATCGGATGAGCCCGTATGGCGTATGCTGAAACTTAGAAAGTCGACTAGAGGATGTCGTGAGAGTGGTAGAGGATGTCGTGAGGGTGGTAGAGGATGTCGTGAGGGTGGTAACAGGAGGCGCAGGATGGTGGGAGAAGATTAGAATATTTTGAGCAATCTCATTGTTGCGATGCACTCTTGCTGTGTGATATCGAAATGCTCGTTCCGCTGATTCTTCTCTCAGGGCTGCTTGGGCATGGCACTCGGCGAGATTCGCCGCCTCGACATTCCCGCACACGAGGGGTATGGGGCGTCAGGTTTCCCAGGTGTGAGGCAGAGCAAGGGACAAGTTTGAGCTGCCAGGCTCTGACGATGACGTGGCAGCCTGGAAGATTCCTCCGAACGGGAGCCTCATCTTCGAGATTGAGGTGCTCAAGATCAAGTGAGAGTGCGAGAAGGCTGCTGGAGGTGGGGGCGGCAAGTATCAGGTCCGATCGCGTCCTTGCGGTCAGTGGGGGAAGCACGTCCATGGGGACCTTGAGTTTGAACCTTTACTTCCTTGATTGACTGCTGTCGTTTATCTCAACACAACTCCATCTCTCCTTGCCCCACCTACACCCCAGGGCCGAAAGTGACGAGACCTGTTGGCACGCGTTAGAACAGAAGGGACTAGAGGAATGCGGAGGACTGACGCTTCCTCGGCTCGTGCGGGTTGCGGTTCCTGTCAGACAAGCGTCAGTACCTCCTCCCTGACTGTCTCCTCCTCCTCCTCCCCCTCCTCACTTGATGTGCTCCGCATGAGATCCGGACTTCTTGAGGAGCTGAAAGCCACGTCAACGCCGAAACCGGCAGAGCGCATGCGACCGAACCGATTTGCGGGGCTTTTGGGGAGGAGGATGATGACCTGGCGTATGGCCGACGTGCCCATAGTACCAGCCTTCCGGCTCGTCTTCAGCACTTGAAGTTCGCGACAGGGTCTCTGGTAGAATCATCCTAGCAAGAGATGAGGAAAAAGAAGTTCACAGGGGCAGCGCTTACAGCCCGTCGCTTTCCCGCCGCGGGCTCTGGAGGAGCAGTGAGATGATATTATGTCACAGTGAAGAAGGGGGGAGGAGGGGGGATGGAAAAGTCAAGGCAGAGGAAGGGGAAAGATGAGACTCACTCTCATGATCGATTCAGAGCTCGAACCCATGCCGGTTTGCCATCCCTGCTGTGACGTCAGAGACGAGCGAGCGCGGCAACAAGATAACTTACATTGGGTGATTGTTTGGATGTCAGCAGACTATCCGTCGGTTCCTCGTCCTACCGAGCCATCGAGTGAGGATAATGTCCTTCACGGGAGTACAATGCTGACCGTTAACATCATGGGAGCGAGCTTGAGAGAATTCCAGAAGTTGGGGTCAAACACGCTTGTCTTCCCATCGAATTTGACTCTTTGCCGTGAAGCCAGCTTCTTGGCCCTGAGATTCGTTGTTACAATCCGCAGCATCAGGCCTCATCCTCCTCCCACTTTATTGTCCCTGCTACAGGGCAAGAGTCTTCGAAGTCTGCCATGATTTCCTGATGATGGCGAGTAAATACAAACTCATCATCAACCCCTCCCGCGCACTTTTCCGTTGGGAAACTTGAAGTTCCCTCTCCCAAAGATCAGCCCGTTCTTCCACTCCTGACACAGTCGTTAGGATAAAATGCAAAAACGAGAAGCGAGATCTACCCCTTGATATTCTCCAAGGCTCGGTGAATACCAAAAGCCCTGCCCGTGATATTGTCCATCTGAACCAGCTCGTGTCAGCTACCTGCCAGCAGACTAATTCAAATCATCTCACTCTTCCATTCCCCCTCATAACGAGTTCCGTCTTCTTTCTGTGCCCAAGGACAGTCAGTCCCCAGAAATAGAGAGTTTCGGCTGCAACAAGCCGACCTGTATCCGATGAAAACCATCCAGAATCCTGGAATCTCGGGAGTGGCACTCGCAAAAGAATCTCGGACTAGCTTTTTGGGGGGGAGGATGCAGAATGACAGGATTGACAGAAACTGGACAGAGATTCAACAACAAAGGTGTAGGGTAAAACTGCAGCAGGACCTTTCAGGACGGTTTGCTTCAAAGGCGTGAGATTCTTGTCGAAGATCGTTCGCTTCCCATCGAAGGTCACCTGGTGGTTTCACGGGTGAACATTCGCTCCAGATTCCAACCCGCGTCTGATTTCACCTTAGCTCTCAAGCCGTTGGCTTTCGTCAACAAGCCGGCGATGGGGCAGCCTCCTCTGAACTTCCCCTCAAACATCTGTCGGGCGAGCAGCGTGAGTAGGGAATGAGTTGGAACGAAACTTCAGCTGACATCTCCGTCGGGGAATATGAAGATCCCACTGCCTTGAAACAGTCCATCTGCAACTATGTGATTCTCTGCCTCCTTCATCAGCTATACCGTACCTCTCCACATCCCATCGTACGTCCCGCTGTCCTGGTGGGACCATCTGCGCACTCTATCAATGCGCTGGCTGTGGAAGTTTGCTGCTCCTTCACCTTCCGTTCCCCTCCCACTTCCCCTGAACCCACTCCCCATTGTAAGAGGAACCGTCCTTGTTGTTGATTCTATGTGCTCCCTCCAGCTTCTCTGCTGAAATGCCATGACAGCTGCGGAGGAAGTTCATGGACGAGAGCAGGCGAAGGAAAACTCCTTACCAGCAGCAGTGTGCCCCAGATGTACCGCCCGACACGAAGTCTTCAGTGACGAAGTAGTCCACCGCTTCCTCATCTTGGTCATCATCCTCGTCGTCAGCTTCCTCTGAGATTCCAGCAAGCTTGGCTCTGGTTTTCAAACAAGAAGCAGTGTTAGTCTGCACTCTCACTCTGAGCGTCCCATTCCAATCTTGTGCTCACTTCTGCATGTCGTCCTCGTCTGAAGAGAGATCGTTCATAGCAGGAATCTGATTTGGCGCCAGCGAGGTGCTCTCCATCTTCAGCTGCGTCTGAGTCTGCATCAAGGATCCAAGATCCATCTTCTCTTCCTCCAACCCGTTTGACTTCTCTTTACCCGTTTCAAAATAGCTTCCTGACCCGATCCCATTCATCATAGTGATTTGATTATCGTCACCACCTGCACTCCAAAGTCAATCCTGATCCTGAAAACGGATCCCTTGGTCGTTGACTCATATGCTAGCGCAAATTCCCCTCCCCAACCCTTCCCTCTCCTTCCCGCTGGATCTGTTCTCTGTCAGTGCCTCCAATCTGCATCCGTATTCAAACCTCTCACGATCTCGCGCGCTTTACTTATTGCCCTGTATCCCCGTCTCCCCACTATCACTGCCTTCTCCTGCCCTTTGATTCTTGTCTGTCCAGCACCGTGGCAAGTATCCTTGAACCCTCAGCCCTGGCTCTGACAAAATTATTACTAAGACTATGAGTGCACTGTCAAACTCTGACTCTGACTCTCTGACTGTCTGACCTGCACCTGACCTGATCGGACTTTTCTGCCCGTACATCCTCCCCATTCTTCCCCATCCTCGGCGCTTCCCCTCCATGGACTCCAGCGCGCCGCTCTCAGGCGGCAGTTTCGCTTACCCCAGGCATTCAATCGCGGCACTGACACAAGAAGCCAAGTCCCTGGCAAAAGTATTGGCGAGTCTATAATACCCCTACCCGTATCTTCTACTTTTATTGGTTGAGAAATTACCCCGTACTTGAAGAGCAGCTGAAATTGAGTAGAGCCAACTACAAATGGAGCATGGATTGACAACTTGCAAGAAAACAAAAAGAAACATTATAAGCGAGATATTATAAAATGTTTTGAACCATATGTATCTGAGATTTGTATACAAACCCTCTGGATAATAGTTGATATCTGTACCATGATTGATTAGTGACTAAATAATCTATATGAAGATCATCTAGAAAGGGCACTGAATTAAAATGTACCAGAGTGGGCATATACAAGTCAGCTAAAATAAAAGGAACAATGGGGAGATTGTACGAAGATTGTAATTATTAGCTAAACAACACAAAACATAAAATTTTTGAATTCTAAATTTTGATTGTAATTATCAGTATGGTACACCAAAGGGTCTGCCAGGTACCGGCGATGAGTGTAGGGTACTACTAGGCTAGTACCCGTAAACAACACTTCAATGATACCATTGTACTGGCCGGCGCTGGTACCATTGTACTGGCCGGCGCCGTATCCGGGTGCCGCCACTGCCGTACGGTCCGGCGCCGCCGCTCCGACGGAGACTGTCCGGGCCCCGGCGGCGGGCCCCCGAGCTCCGCTGAGGCCCGGCGCTCCGCGGGCGTGACTGACACCGGGTGCCGGGCCCGGGCCCCGGGCCGGGTGTCACTGCCGTCACAGGCTGGCCCGGGCCAGCCCGGCTGGTGCCACCGTGTGCCACCCGGCCGGGCCGCCCCGGCCCGGCCGTGCCGCGCCGACGGTCCCGCCGAGGCTCCCGGAACTTGCATCGGACTCCTGAAGTTCAAGTTCGAGGTGACAGCCGCAACCGTCAGTTTGCTAAGCCTTCAACGACTACTAGGCTCAGTAGTACCCAGGGCCCCCGGTGACTCGCCCCACCCCGGGCCCAAGGGCCGCCCGCCGGGCCCGCCGCGGCCGCGACGGGCCGACGGTCCGATCCGCCGTGACTGAGTCCGGCCCGAATGGTGTCGGAGGCGGGCCCACTCCTTCGCCGGCGAACCGACGAACAAGTTGGCAGAGGTGAAGATCTTCTGGTACGTGGTGGTAGGCCCGTAGAAACTTCTACGACCCTTTTCTAAGCTTCCGTAGCAGAACACAGTTTTAAATTGTACCGCATGTCCCATAGTATGATGATTTGTTGTTATTATTAGCTTTTATCAATATACTTGCTAGCCAAATATGACATTTATTTCATAAATTATTGAACAATAGTTATACACTGTACAAATGTTTGATCGACGAATTGTGTTGTTTGTACTACAGATTTTCGATTGAGACTATACAATACTTTTATTATAACATCGCGCTTATAGAGCGCCGCGATTCCTGGTAAGCAAGAGACGAGGATGTAGGGGGTGGGGTGGAGTGTTGGAAAGGATGGTCAAGAACAGGTGGGTGGTATTGAACTATCAGTGACAGTGGTGGGGTAGTAGACATTTACGAATGAGGAACATAGGTACGGTGGGGTAAGTCTCATATCGTACAACCATAAAACTAAATTGGAAATAGTAGGGTAGGGTGATGTGACTTTTCTAGTGCCAGAATCTTGGGGTGGGTGCAGGGTTGAGGTGACGATTTAGGTAGGGTAGTTATTTTGAGGTGGGGTAGGTCGGGGTGGGGTAGTAGAAGAAGACAGGTGGCCTTTGCTGCAGCAAACAGCGAACGAAAGGTAGCACATGCCACGATGCCGCGCAACTTGTTCTTCCGCTAGTCTTTGTTGATGCCCTGTATAATGCGCATGCGATATGTTCTTCTGAATGAGATGGATAAATTGACGATTGTCTTTCTGTTTGTTTCTTGTGATCGTTCATTCTCCTTTGGTTGCAACCTATGTCTTGTTTGTTTTGACTTGGTTTGTGCATGCTCGCAACAACATGTTTTGATGGTAGCCTTCCCTTATGATTTATCTTCAAACATTTTTTCTTTCAAATCAATTCACTGAGTTTTCTGTAGATGCAGATCTTCGTGAAGACTCTCACCGGCAAGACCATCACCCTCGAGGTCGAGTCGTCAGACACCATCGACATGGTCAAGAGCAAGATCCAGGACAAGGAGGGCATCCCCCCTGATCAGCAGCGTCTCATCTTCGCGGGCAAGCAGCTCGAGGACGGCCGCACCCTTGCGGACTACAACATCCAGAAGGAGTCTACTCTCCATCTTGTGCTCCGTCTCCGTGGAGGTATGCAGATCTTCGTGAAGACTCTCACCGGCAAGACCATCACCCTCGAGGTCGAGTCGTCAGACACCATCGACATGGTCAAGAGCAAGATCCAGGACAAGGAGGGCATCCCCCCTGATCAGCAGCGTCTCATCTTCGCGGGCAAGCAGCTCGAGGACGGCCGCACCCTTGCGGACTACAACATCCAGAAGGAGTCTACTCTCCATCTTGTGCTCCGTCTCCGTGGAGGTATGCAGATCTTCGTGAAGACTCTCACCGGCAAGACCATCACCCTCGAGGTCGAATCGTCAGACACCATCGACATGGTCAAGAGCAAGATCCAGGACAAGGAGGGCATCCCCCCTGATCAGCAGCGTCTCATCTTCGCGGGCAAGCAGCTCGAGGACGGCCGCACCCTTGCGGACTACAACATCCAGAAGGAGTCTACTCTCCATCTTGTGCTCCGTCTCCGTGGAGGGAACTAAGTTGGTGTATCAGTAAAGTGTCCAATAAGAATTATTTCATAGCGTGATTCCACTGATTTCATTTGAGTTTGATCATCGCACGTACGGAAAAAATTGTTTGCATGATTATGTGGTACTTCGCAAAATTGGGAATATTGGACCGAACTGTTTGATGGCATTGGAATCTAAATGTTACATGTAGGACACTCTGAATGTGCTTTCGTGCTCACCAACTCGGACCCGTCGTCTTCCGCATTCCTTGTTATCTCTCTCTTCCTAATTAACTGTGAGCGTCTGGAGAGGCTGGAGCTACAGCCTATTCCAAACTGGCAACACCACTCCTGCTGTTGCTTGTTGCTTTCATTTCCCCTCTTCTCCCAGCCGGTCCTGCCTTGAGATGTCATTTTGATCAGAGGACGAGAGCAGAAGCTTCATGCCTGCCAGCCTCCCTGCCAAGGGTTCACGATGCCTTCCGTGCATCCAGCTCCTCCAACCCAAACTCTCATGCTCACATGTTCGTGCCTGTTCGCATCAGGTCTGCTGTGCATGTCACTATACTCGAATTCCTGCCCATGGTCCTTTTTACCCTCTCCTAATCCTGCCTTCCCATTTCCCCCACTTCCTTACCTTCCCCTTCCTCCTTTCCCTCCTCGTGCATCTTCCTCGCCTTGCACCACCTCTTGTGCTCCTACCGCACAGGTTCCTATCCACCTGCACCTCCTCCTCCTCCTCCTCCTCCTCCTCCTCCTTCCCCCCCCCCTGCTACTACCACTCATCTACAAGATATGATCCTTCAACAACAAGGCTTGTTGTGCATTACCCCTACCCCCTTCTTGCATGCCACCTGAATCAAACACCCTGTTATTGACGCAGAATTAAAGTAGTAAGTAGGGGTACTTTTGTAACCCCTACCCCACCGAATCTATGTCGCAACATCGAATCCTGTTGCAGGAGGCCACCGGGGGTCATCAGAGGACCCACCTTGTACCCGATAACCCCACCCTCAATTACACCATGAAACAATCTCATAGTACCCCTACTATAAGGCTACATCATGACATCCCACCGGTTCATGAGGATACCCCACCCCCTCGGTAATTTCCCCCGACAAAGTCTAGCAAAAAAACAACCCAGCCCTTCCATTCCTTGCCCTCCTGCTCCTGCTCCTGCTCCTGCTCCTGCTCCTGCTCCTGCTCCTGCTCCTGCTCCTGCTCCTGCTCCTGCTCCTGCTCCTGCTCCTGCTCCTGCTCCTGCTGCTTTTGATTGTCTCTAGTGTTCGTTGCCCATTTGATCAATCCCTTTCTCCCGAGTCCTACATACCAATTACTCTGCCCAACACGAAAGTATTGTCTCTCGTGAACTCTGTTGCGAACTGCGAACTCGCAAGCAAACTAGTTGTGGCTACTGAACTTCAGACAAGCCTCTGTGCCGCTTCCTTCGATCTTGAATTTCTGCTGGTCATTTCCAATCACACGCATATCAACCCGTTATCGATCTTGTCTTGTCCTTGCCAATTCAAAACAGAAAATTTGCTATGCGAAAATTCCATGGAGCCAGAGCTCTCAGCCTCATCCATCGTTCTTGGCGAATGAGGGCATCACGAACTTTCTCGCACTCACTGACAAGATCGCTGTCAACGCATGCTCCCTCTCCCTTCGATCCCTCGCCAGAGCATCGGCACCTGAGGGAGGTGGTCCGGGACTTTGCGGAAGCAGAGGTGGACCCTCAGGCTCAAGAGTTCAACAAGGAGGAGAAATTCAACCTGAAGCTCTTCCAACGCCTCGGCGAGCTGGGACTGCTAGGAGTGACAGTGCCGGAGGAGTATCATGGTTCCGGCATGGACGCGACGGCAGCATGCATCATCCACGAGGAGCTGGCGGCTGCGGACCCTGCCTTCACCCTGAGCTACCTAGCGCACTCCATCCTGTTCGCCAACAACCTGGCGAGGAACGGGAGCGAGGAGTTGAAGCATGCGTACCTTCCTAAGGCGTGCTCTGGCGAGCTGGTGGGAGGGATGTGCATGTCAGAGGCAGAGGCTGGAACCGATGTGTTGGGTATGAGGACACGAGCGGAGCAGACAGGGCCGGAGGAGTTCAGCATCAGCGGGCATAAGATGTGGATTACCAATGGGACGTTGGATGGTTCGACTACAGGAGACGTCTTCCTCGTGTACGCTTCGAGCAAGTCTCCAGAGGCCTCCTCCTCCTCGTCCTCCTCCAAGAGCTTTAGTCTCTTTCTCGTCGAAAAGGGAACGCGGGGCTTCACGCTCGGGCAGCAGATCAAGAACAAGTGAAGGAGGAAGGAGGAGGTACGGCCGGTGTCTGAGGCCTGTGGCAGGTGTGGGATGCGAGCTTCCATGACAGCTGAGCTTGTCTTCGATGACTGCAGGATACCAGCTAAGAATCTCGTTGGCAAGGAGGTAGCCATTGCCTTCCACCTCCCCTTCCCCTCCTCCTCTCTAGCGCTCCTCTCTTAGCCCAGGGCTGCAGGGCAATGCAGTCTACTGCATGATGAGAAATCTCGAGCTCGAGCGCCTGTGTCTTGCTGCGATGAGCTGCGGAATCGCCCGACGGTCAGTAGACAGGAGGAGGAGGAAAGGGAGCAGGAGGAGGAGGAGGGATGAAGGGGATGGAGGAGAAGGAAGCAAGAATTCTGATTTGCTACCAGCTGCGTCGAGACGATGGCTCGATACGCCAGGGACAGGAAGGCATTTGGGAAGCCCATCGGCCAATTCGGACAGGTGACGCGCCTCATCCTCCCGATCCTAATAGATCTCTCCTCCTGCTCCTGCTTGAACTTCATCTGCTTCTGCTCTTGCATCGTTCATTTATGTTGTCTTCTCTTCTTTCTCTTCCTCTCAACGTCGTCGCAGGTTCAGAGGCTGGTGGCTGATGGATACGCCAAGATGAGCGCGGGAAGAGCCTTCCTCTACTCGGTGGCACAAAAGCTCAAGCTGGATGCGGTCATCCTCTACTTCCTTCTCCTCCACCTCCTCCTTCTCCTCTCACCTGTCCTCAGACTCTCCTCCTCCCCTCTCACCTCCTCGTCCTCGACCATGGAGGGTCCGCGTGACAAGTCGCTTCAGGATCCGAGCGAAACCAACGAGAGGATGCAGACAGACGCGGTGAGACAGAGGGGCTGAGGGACTGGCTGCTTCTTGACGCGCTGATGCCTCCTCCAGGTCAAACTCTTCTGCGGGGAAATGGCGAAAAGCGTGGCAGACTCAGCCATGCAGGTCAGGAGGAGGAGGGTGGAGGAGGAACGAGTGAGCGAGTGAAGCAGGTTCTAGGAGGGAACGGCTACCTGGCAGACTACCAGGTGGAGCAGCTCTGGAGGGACTCGAAGCTGCTGGAGATCGGAGGAGGGACGAATGAGGCACACCAGAAAAACATCATGCTTGACTTCCTTCGCAAGCAAGTCATCGAGATTCCTTGAGATCTTTATATACACGCAAAACACGCAAGGAAAGCTCCGCATGCTCCAACGCTATCGTGAGGTTCAGAGGAGCTCAATCTTGGCTTATGGGCTCAAGAGGAAGGGACTCCCGCCCACACGTAGTGCAGGGAGTGAGCTCCTTGCCCGTTAAAGCGGGAGGACGCGCATCGGGTGTAGGCTCCCATGTTGGAGAACCAGAGCCAGTCGCCGACCGAGAGGTCGGGAAGGCGCGTGCAGCCCATGACCACGTCGATGCTGTCACAGGTGGGCCCGAAGAGCTTGGTGGGGACGAGGAAGGGAAGGTCCGCCTTCTTGCCCAGCACTTGCGGGGTCAGGATGGCATGATCGAACACGACACAGTTGAAGGACCCGTAGCATCCGTCGCTGATGTAGAGAGCCACGTCCGGTGTCGAGTCAACAGAGGTCTCCTCGGCCTTCTTGAAGCCAGAGTCCTCCTCCTCCTCGACCTCCTTCCCTGCCCTCGCTCCGAACGACTCGATCTCCGCAGTGCCCGTCAGCTGATCTGCTGTGAGCTGGCGCTTGGCAATAACAGCGACGGCGTAGGTGTGGCTGGCAGCGACCATGTAACGCCCAGGCTCGGCGATGATCTGAACGCCGGAGGAGGGAGGGAAGTAGTGGTCGATGGCGTTGGCGAGAATCTCCGCCACCTCCCTGAAGGTGAAGTGACCGTCATCAGAGCCGGGGAACCCTCCGCCGCAGTCCAGAAGGAAGGGAGCGAAGCCGTAGGCCTCGGCCATGTCGAAGGCGTCGCGAGCAGAGGCGACGGCATCGGAAAAAGCCTTGACGTCTCCACATCCTGACCCTACGTGGAAGCTGAAGCCTGCGATGTCGAGCCCGAGGGTCTTGGCAACCTGCAGAAGCTTCTCCCACTCATGCTGTGCAGCTCCAAACTTGGAGTTGAAGCGGCAGACAGACTTGGAGTCGTCGACGGCGATGCGCAGGACGATCTGAGCAGCAGGGAAGATGCTTGCGATCTTGTGAAGCTCCTCCACATTGTCTGCCGTCATCTTCCTCACCCCTTTGTCCTTGGCGTAGCGGAGCATCGCCTCGGCCTTGCATGGGTTCGCGTAGATGATGCGCTCCGGTTCCACTCCCATGTTGAGTGCGAACTCAATCTCGGGCTTTGACGCGCAATCGAAGCCGCAGCCTGAGAGCGCGAGGAGCTTGCAGATGAAGGAGTCGTTGTTGCACTTGATGGCGTAGAAGGGCTGTACCCGCGGCATGAAGCTCTTCCAGTCGTTGAGCTTCTTCAGCACCATGCTGAGGTCGATGATGTAGAAGGGATCTTGGTCCTCGGACTCCGCACAGATGTCCATGATGAGCTCGGCTGTGTTGTAGCCTGAGGGAACCACCCGCACGCTGTTCTCTGCGAGGACCATCTCCACTCCCTTGGAGCTTACGAAGGTGTCGAGACCCCACGAGTCTTGGATGGAGATTTTGTCCTCCAGGCTGTGGGCCAAACTGTCGGACCCGTTGCCTGACTCGTCACTCGTCTCCGACAGAGCCTCATCGAGGGTCTTGACAGGCACTAGAGGAGACTCGGAGATGATCTCTGTCACGATGGCCTCCTGGATCGTGGTATCATTCTCGATGACCGAAATTTCTTGTGCGTCCATACCAAGCAAGGTCAAGGATTCGTTTGTGTGGATTTCCTAAATTTTCGAAAAACTTGAAGCAAAACGAAGGGTTGTGCGGAGGGATCACAAAATCCGACGGGATCCAGTGACGCTTTTGACGAGAAGCTGGAGTTCGCTTGTTCAAGCACAAGCAAGGACAGCAGTAGAGATCGAGGAGGTGGAGCAAAGAGCCAAGAGCTGAAAGCGCAAGGAGCAGTGTCAACGGGGAGGCGGAGCGTGCGGAGAGACGGTGCGCAGAAGTTTTCTTGATCCCTGTCGGGGGCGCGTGAAGTAAGAGGGGGAGAAGCGAAGGTGGGGAATTACCACAATAAAATTGCATGTATGGGCCTATTTTAAAATACAAATCGGAAAAGTTCACAAAAATGACGATCGAAATATCAAATAAAAGAGAAATGTTTGAATGAGCGTGCTGAAATTTGGGCACTGTCAGGACCCTTTCGATTGTAAACCTTTATTTCTTGACTTTTAAAGGCGGATCTTCATAATGTTTATATTAATTTTAACATCTTAAATTGTTTTTATTACCCTGATGCTAGATTGAATAATCACTCAATAACATGTGCAGTCGTCTTTTATAAATATCATATTTCAATGTATAAAATGAGTAGTAAAATTCAGTCCTCAACATGTACTACCCCTACCCCCAAGGTTCTAGCTAAGTAGTACCCTACCCCAGACTTTTGCAATCCATACCACCCCCCTTGAGCTTCACATTCTTGTGCTCCTCCCCCAAACAAATCTCCCTTCTCCACCCACCACCATTGTACCCACCCTTCTCTTATTTTTGGTACCCCACCTCCAAAATCCTCACTTCTTGTCTAGTTCAACCGGTCAAAGACCCCGATTGTTGCCGGATTCAATTTTGACTACCTTACCCTACCACCCTACCGTACTCCGTGTACCCTACCCTATAGGAAATAAGCACCAACTTACTTGGACACCCCACCCTCCATCTCTCGTTTTCCACCCCCATTGCACCCCAACTCTACACTCTGATGGGTCCATCGCGCATTCATTCAAACTCTGCCACCATTTCCTGCCCCACCCCTACCTTCTACCTCACTACCCTACTATTGCCCTCACCCTACCCACGTCTGGGTGCTACCCCTAGGGAGGCTAAATGACCCCTGGCACCCTCTTGTCCACCTCCCCGATATCCAATTCCCCTTCTAGCTTCCATCCTAAAGCACCTCTCACTCAACTACCCCCTGCATGACACAGTACCCCACGAACGAACAGCTCTTTGCTTGTTCATCTTGGGAGTACCCGTTATATTCAGTGAAAATACCCCCACCCTAGACAATAATAACCCACCCCAATCTGAAGAGTACCCCTTAATTCACTTCAGGTACCCCATCACTGTCGGGTGACCTCGCCGCATGCGTCTACTCTGCCCATCGTCGTCATCACGCAGTAGAGGACTACATGCGACCCGCAAAGCCATCACCCACCCTCCTCTTTGAACAACCCTCTGCCTTCTTGTTGTCCACTTCAAACACACCGGGTCCTGTCGCTAGATATCGATATTCACCGGTGGTGATCAAAGAGCGAGATTTGGAACCCTGACGATGACTACCCCCCGGATCCGATCAATGGGTACCCCCTGACCCACAACCATCGCAATTATTCCCCCAAGTTTGAAGTTTCCCCGGGCATGCCGAGCACAGCGGCAGGAGAAACTTGGTGACCGTTCGATCAAACCCGGCGGCCTCCGACGGACTGCTCCGAGGCCGGCGCTCTCGACCGTGCCGCCCCCGCGGCCGCGACCGAGTCAGGGCCTCACGGTAGTGACTCAGCGGCTAGCCAGCCGCGTCACCGGGTGACCGTAGGCTCTCCCGAGTCCGTGACTCCGCGGCCTCTCCGGGCACTGAGGGGGGTCCACTTCGATACGTGACTTCAGGCCGGCGAGAGGAGACGATCTTTGCGTCCACCTGAGTGCACCCGGTGACCGTCGGAACTTCTGCCGCCGCCGCATGATACTGTATCCGAGTATCACGGTATCCTGAGTCCCGGGTCGTGCTGCTCGACGCACGACGGTCAGACCGGGCGCCGCGGCGGCTTCCGAGCCTGGCAAGTTCAAGTTCTCAACCCGAGCATCAGGCCCACGGTGATCCAGGACTCGGGAGCTGTTTGCGCGCGGCCCGGCCGGCGAGGGTAGAGCTTCACACTGAGAGTCAAGTTCAGACCGTAGGTCGCCGCCGGCCATCGTGATGCATTCCATGGTATTTTCTAATGCTCGCTTTTGATCATTTTCGAGCGGGGTACCTCAGCCCAGGATTTTTGAATGGTCGGCGCACCGAAAATTTGTACCAGAAACTTCGATAATGGTTGAAAGTATGTTTGAATCGGGGACCGTGTCGAGCAGTTTTAGGTTTACAAGTATTCTTGCTTCCTCCAAACAACAAGGTTTCAAACATTAAAACTATTTTTGACCTTACACGCTTTTACACGCCTGGGGGGTGCATATACAACCAAATCGCCTGCCCTACCCTTCCCCCATTGCTGCATCCCCACCCGCCGGCGCAGGCGGCGTTTGTTTGAATCCAAGATGGCTCTCAGCCAATGGCTCTTTCATCGTATTCAAGCTCCAGGCCATCCAAGGTTGGATCATGTGTGAATGTTTGTACTTTTTGCGGCATACTGCAAGACGACATTTCAAACAGCTCGAGCTTGTTTTTCAAAGGAAGCTGTAGGAATCAGCATCGCCATGGATTCCAGGGCCTAGGGCTGTTTTCGAATCCTTTTGATGCTCATTGTAAGATGGAGAATTGCTCGTTTTTGGTGATCAAGCATCCACAACCCTCTTTCGTATGATTGAGCTTCGAGCACATCTCTGACTGTAGAGTTGTTTGGTGTCAAGATTGTTTCTCGTAAAGGATCTCTCTGATTAGGCAATTTATTGTTGTTTTGGTTGGCATTCTACAAGACCCATACTTCCTCCTCTCTGTGTCAACCAAGCACATAAGCATAAGGCATGTCAGTCGTGTAGGCAACTTGATTGCAAATAGATCGCAAGTGTAAGATCGATGAACTATTCAACGCCATGAATGCCGGATGTGAATGAACTTCCCTCAGGACTTCTCAGTATCAGAACCAGCGAGCTAAGACATAAGGTAGAGTCTCCATTGAATATCATTCCTGCGAATGTAATGTTTTTATCAGTTGTGGGGAAGAGAAGCATGGAGACAAGCGGGTGCCCAAGCGAATAGGAGCATCTTGCGGATGTAGGTTTGGACAAAGACGGCGATGATTCCGAGGTTGTGAAACAGGCAGCGAAAAGATGCTGAGGTTTTCGGAGTTCATAAACATGGCTTGTGACGAGCATGTCACACGTAAAGCGATGGAAAACAACAAACAAAAATTGTAAAGCAATCGAAAGCAACGAAAATCAATGGAAAACAACAAACAAAAATTCTTCTCAAAGGTCTCACTCTTTGACTTCAACCACTGATTGAACATCTTTTTGACCTCGGTCATATCTCGACAAATCCGATTGTACTCCGCCACTGAACAGAAAGTTGTTTGCGCCATCTTTTCAACGAGTGGTGCCGGGTTTGCAATCGAGAAGTGAGAGATTTCACAGTATTTATTATTTTCGATGTCGTCTTCATGAAAAAATATATACCCATGCACTCTGAAATTATCGTGGAGATCATCGTTGGCATGCTCCAACATGCAAGGAAAGCTGAAGAAAAACATTTTTGGTATAGCATTTATTTCATCCGTATCCTTGTAAATTGATTGATAACAATCACGGTTTCCAACTTTGTTCAAAATTCTTTTCAGGGCCACACAGGGCACTCGATTAGTTATAATGGTTTCGTCTACATGTTCCAAGAGGACTCGATTGTACATGATGTACACTTCGACAACCTGTGCATCTGAGTGCAGCGATTTGATCATGCCCAGTCGATTCACTTCAACGCCCCTGTGATCTTCACACTGATATTGAACCCCTGTGCCAGGCTCAAGTATGATATTCAAATTACTGCCTGGCTTTTTCCAGTACATCCTGGGCAAGTCTCGATCATCAACTGACGTATGCAGGTTCATTCGAGCTTCAAATCTTCAGGTGTCTTTGACTCATCACAAGTCTCTTCCTGCTCCAAGAATGTATCGAAATCTTCCTGCCTTCGCCTTCTCTGAATTCCATTTGTTGCTGATACACGACGGTGAAGATTCATTTGTTTGGTGTCTATAACTGGAGCGCAAGGGAAAGGGAAGCAACGGGGAGGGAGGGGAGCAGGGGGGAGGGAGGGAGCAGGGAGGAAGGGAGGCGAGCAGGGGGGGAGGGAGGGAGGGAGAAGAGCATGGAAGGAGGAGGGGAGGGATACTTGCAATGGAGATCTCAGGATTTTTAATGAAAATTATTTGCTCTTTGATCGGGGGCAAGGGGACCTGTGTTTCGGTGGCACCCTATAGACATAGGGTAGGTATCCATATAAAACAACCGGTGTAGAAAAAAAAGATTGCCGTTGCTAGCTGGCATACGACTCCTTGATTTGAAAACAAAAATACTTATTGGCTAGATTTACTACACTCGTCAATGGCTGACACTAATAAGATTTCATGAGCGTGTATCGAAATATACGAATAACCCTACCCCCTCCATATTAGACAAACATACCGGTACACAGGGCAGAGAGCAGCCAAGAGGCGTGTAAGCCGGAACTCAAATGCTTAAAACGAATATAAAAGAGTACTGAGTGGTACAAATCATTCTGGTACAAAATTGACTAAAAACTGTATGCTTATGATCAAATTAACAGGTACAAGTGTTTGTTAAAAGGATATAAGTTTATAATTGGGCATTAGAAAATACCATGGAATGATGCACTGAGGACCGTCTTTAGTACTACGGCTACGAGCTGGTGCAGGCGAGGCGGCACCAGTGGTGCGGCTCAGTGTCTCCCGGACCGTGACTCCCCTAGTAGTACTGTTATGACCTCAGGCCCGGTCAGTGGAGGCCTCAGTGAGCCCCGGCCCGGGCCCGGGCCCGCCGGTGGCCGCCCGGTCCGACGGTCACTGCCGGGCCCAGTCACGGTGACCGCGGCGTACGGCCCGGGACTCACCGTAGGCTGACCGTCGTGGTTGAACCGCACCCGGCCCGGCCGCCCGCGGCATTGTACGGTCTCCGGTGACCGGGCCGGCCCACCGTGCCGGGGAGTCGGTGCCGGCGGCGGCAGTGGCCCGGCATCCGAGTCACATGATCACACCGTCCGATCACTCGGAACTCGCAAGAGCACAAGTTACTCAAAGTTAACTTAAAAATCAGTACGAGGACAATCAGGAGAGTAAAACTTCTAGTCAGGTGACGGAGGGCAAAATTTACTCAAAGTTAAGTTAAATAGCATTTGGAACGATATGATAATTTTCAGCTTATAGTACCAGTAAATACAGTTGATAATTTGATTGCGGCAGTCCAGATCGTACCGAGCTTATGGTATCTCGTACATCTCCTTACAAATATTTAAAATTTGGCCTCTTCCAGATGCGACCCTCCTTTGCTGGTGTACAGAATACTATTGGGGGTGATCAATTGATGCAGAAGAATTGAGGTAGGGTTCTTGATGAAGGGAAGAGGAGGGGTATTTTTAGCATGACGGTTCGGGTAAATCAACAGGGGCAGTTCGGGGTGTGTCAGAGGGTAGGGATGTCAGTGAAATGGGTGGGGTGGTTGGTCTACACAACAACAATGTTTGATGGAGTTATGGCGATGTGGAAGCAGGGGACGACGTTGACGTTGATATGGCTGAACCTCGTGGCTGTTGATGGCTTCATGCAAGTTTCGCAGTCTTCTCAGGGTCCGATCTCTTGTCGCAGTTGTTACAGCAAGCTTTCTGGCGATTTATTTCCTCGCTCGTCGATGTTGACGTCATCGATGTACGAATGGGATAACGTAAACAGGCACGGGCCGTACTCCCAAGCGCACAGATATGGGCATCAGGCGATGGATCGCAATCGAGTACATGCACTGCGCATGTGTGACCGAGATTTCTTCGGTCCCAACGAATGCTCAGTTAGAAGCGAAGCAGATTGCTCCACGCCCTACCAACTGAAGCAGGATTCATTTGATCTAATCAGAAATATCCCGCGCAATGCGTTGCCTGAGAATATTCCTCTGAAGAATCTCTTTGGTGTTCATCTCAAGGAACAACAACATCCGGAACATTCTCTTCAGGTAACAAAGAGTGCCAAGAAATGTGCGCCTCTGACCCTTTTACAGCATCGAATCAAGATCTTCGCATCTGATGTGGAAAGAGAGATTGCATTCTGGACTCGAGGACTTGGCATGACCGTCTTCACGGAAGAATCCTCAATATTGCTGAGCTATGATGATATCACTGCTTACTACACTTCCCCGGAGAGTCGAGGCAACGGACATCGAGATGAACCGTCGAACATATTGGAGCTTGTCGAAGGCAACCAAGTGGACAAGACCAGGAACCCTGAGCTGAAGCAGCAACTCTACATTCAGATTCCTTTCCGACCTAACCTGCTGGATGATATCAAGAAGGTCAGTGCTGCGGTTGTGCTTGAAAAGTTCTGACTGAAGTTGCGGTTACAGACTGGTGGCTCGATTGCAAGCAGAAGCAGAGAATTGCCCTTCGATCTCTATTCAAGCGCCACAAATGCTGGCAAGAAGATTTCCATCTCCTCTCCTGCAGGCCAAGAGGTCTATCTCAAGTTGTCGAGCTTTGCTCTCCCTGTCTCCCCAGTTCTCCTGTGTAATCCAAACTAATCTTGAGTCTCAAGATTGTGTACATTACTAAATGCTGTATCATACTGCCTGTCTGTCGGAGCATTCCTTCGACCCTCTCCTCGATCAGCTTGACTTCTGACGTTCACCTCGTTGGGCTCAGCAGAGGGCCGCAATCATCGGCATGCGTTCACTTGGAGCTGTGCTTCACCTCTTGGAAGATCTCCAACATCTTCTCCTCATTCACATCTCGAAACACTTCCAGTGGTCCTCCCGGAAATTCTTCCACTGCAACCTGACAGGTTGAGGTCAAAAGAATGCAATCAGAGAGAGGCAGAGACAGTCAGGACAGGAATAGCAAGAGGAGAGGTTCAACAGGTTCGAAGAGAAGAAAAGCGCAAAGAAGACAAGCCGCATCTGGATAATCAGAAGCTTACCGCCGGGCCTAGTCCACACATCCCCAAACAACCTGTAGATTTGCAAGTAATGCCCTCCGGTTTGTTGGAACGAGCATATTTCAACAGATCAGATGAGCCACAGCTATCGCAGTCATCTCCTGTGCATACCAAAATCACTGATCCACTGTCTTGCGACATTTTGATCTGACGCTGAAAAATCGAACAATTACATCTGCATCGCGACCATGCTTGTTTCACATCGGTGCTTCTCTTCATGGGAAAATGTGGTTTTGAGGAGTGCAATCGGAAAGGCGCTGCATTGAAACATTGGCAACAATGAATCCAACTGACGAAGGCGAGGAGAAACTGATAGACTTTCATACTTCTTCCTGGCCAATCCCTTCTGATTTATCGCTTCTAACTTGTGTCCTCCCCCTCCCCCCCTCCTCCTCCCTCGCCTGCTCTGATTTGCTTGTCGGCCTCCACAGCTCACTGAGTCAGTCCGATCGAGCCGCCCGGCCGCCGGCCGGGGTACGGTCCGACCCGGGCCGGCCCGGCCTGCATATCACTCAGGATACAGTGACTGGCCGCGGCCAGGCTACGAGTCAGTGCCCGGCGCTGCCGGGCCGCCGGGCCGCGCGGCCCGGGACTCCCGGCGGAGTCCGGAGGCGGCGGAGATCCGGGCCGTCGGATCGGACGAGAGTGTCACGGTTACGATTCACCGTGCGGCCCGGCATGGTGAGGCCGGTCAACGGTTCCGCTGGCCGCCGATACCGTACGGTACGGTCGGATCGGAGCCCCGGACGGGCCGTCGGAAGTTCCGAGCGACGAGCCTGTCCGACGGTCGCGCCGCCCCGGGCCTGGACTCCGGGAGGCTTCCGAACTTGAAGCTCGGAGGCTCGGACGATTAACCATTAGTACTTGACAAGTTCACTGAGTCAAGTCACTCATGGTAGGCTCATTCACTCAGGGTATGTACAGGTTTGACTCTTCATCCTCCATCCCTTCAGCTCATCTCCAGCTCCTTGGCGAACTCCTCGAGTATCTCCTTGAAGTGCTGGGCCCGCGAGTTAGGCTCGACCTTGGCCTCCTTGAGTAGCCTCGTGACTCTGCCTCCATTGATCAGAACCTCTCCCCTCCTCCTCGGCTCCTCCTCCACCTCCTCCACCACCACCACCACCACTCAAATGCGTCCACACACATCTCCCCCGCTCACCTTTCCGCCGCTTTCCTTTCTCCCTCTCTGTCCAGCTCCTCCAGGTAGCCCATGATCGCTCGCCTGCGCACCTGTCAGCATGAAGGTCTCGCAGGAAGTCACTCTCACTTTCTCGACGGTCCAGGGGGTTCAGAGAAGAGAGGAGGGAGAGGAGCAGGGGCCCGCTGCATCATGTGGTGGAGGAAGTCGTGCTTGGAGAGGCTGTCGGCTCCTCGCGCCTGCGTCAGTCTGCCTGGAAGTGACTCCAACGGCTCGTCGTCCACGAACATGAGGGGCCGAAGAGCTCGCAGCGTGTGGTAGTGCTGCCCAAGCAGCTGCAAGTTCACGTGCTGCCCTATTCGCTCCTCGAAGACAGTCAGGTCCTGGATGAGTTGCATCTTTGAGCCCTCGAGCAGAGGAAACGCGAGCAGGGCGTTGCGGACGAGAGCGGAGAGAACAGAGGTCGCAAGGTCCTGCGAGAGTTTGTCGAGGTACCTAGACGACGGCAGCTTGGAAAGATACTTGCTGTGCCCGAGCGACAGGACGCGAAGCACTTCCTGCATGTAGGGGCTGCACTTGGTGCTGTCGTCAGCCGCGTCATCCGCGTCATCCATGGAGCGAGAAGAGACGGACTGAAGAGGCTGCAGGTGCATGTTGAGGATGCTGTCCAGCATGGCGGACTGCATGCCATCGACGAAGGGCTTGATGGTGGACGTGCAGCGAGTCTCCGCCTGCCTTCTAACCTCCTCGTACATCTTCGCTGCTTCTGTGGATCCTGACGATGTCAGTTGCTCCTCCAGCGACTCCAGCGTTCCCTCCAGCTGCAGTAGAGCTGAGTGCAGAGCAAAGCTCCGGGCCTGCCCCGTCGTGAGGGTCCCTGTGAGGGTTCGCGCGTCCGCGTCTCCCGTTGTCGCGTCATCGCAGCGCTTGAGGAGGAGCGAGAGTCCAGCAACGACCCCAGCAGCCACCTCGCGCGAGAGCACGGGGTCATGCCGCGAGCTATGGACGATGTTGTTGACGGACTTGAGCAGGGCTGACACGTCGCTTGCCTGCGGTCCTGCCGGACCTCCAGCAGGTTTGGCAGCGAACAAGGCGTTGACGCACTCGGTGACGCGGGTCTGAGCCTTGGCGACGTGCTGATGGAGCAGAGGCTGCAGGGCAGTGATGATCGCGCTCCTCTCCTGCTGCCCGATGGCCCCCGAGCTCCCTGCCTCAGTGTGCCGCACGGAGGTCTGCCAATGGCCGAGGAAGAGAGCGAGGAGCTTGGGAAAGTCCGTGGAGAGCATGCCCTTCACAAACGAGTTCTTCTCCCCGGACGCCTGCAGCTGCTCGCAGACCGCTTGAAACATCCTCGACCAGAACAGCTGGAAGAAACTGTGGTCGTGCTCTCCGCTATAGGACGGGTCGAAGGCTTCAGCGAAGAGCACGAGGGTCGCGTTCGCTCGCTTCTTTCCCATCACCTTGTGAAGGTGCCACACCTGCCCACACTTGCCCGACAGCGTCTCCATCAAAGTCTCCATCCTGCTCCACAGCTCAGTCTTCCATGCCTGAGCTCCGCTGGCACTTGTCGGCCCTCGCTGCTTGGCGTTCCAGTTCTTGTGCTCCTCGCCCTCCAGCGGAAGAGAGGAGGTGTCCAGCGCTGCTGCTGTCGCAGACTTGGCAAGTCGGATGAGCTCAGCCAGCACGTCCTCAACCGCCTCCTGCAGTGTCTCCAGGCTGTAGAAGACCTGCAAGCTGCTTCCGATCTCCCCCAGCTGCTTCCTCAGCACGGCATCCAGCAGCGTCTTCTTCGTCTTGGACCTGATCATCTGCTCGCTCTCGTCCAGCCACTTCCTTCTCTTGTCCACCTCCTCTACCCCCGCCAAGTCACATCGGCTGATGCAGGCCCGGATCTCCGAGAGGCAGGAGGCAGCATGAGCGAGGTCCTTCATTCCGACGGAGTCGCTCTTGGACTCCACGGCTACCAAGTGTCCGCTCATCCGGCTCGCCAGCTCTCTGATCCGGATCACCGCTCGCAGAACCTCTGCTGCTGTCTGGATGCGACTGAGCTGAACAGTCTTGCTCCTCACCGTTTCGAACGGCTCCCTGATGGAGGACTTGATGGACCCCAGCGACCCCTGCAGCCGCCCGACCCCCGAGCTCACCTTGTCCACCAGCTCCTCCAGGTCCTTGGCTTGCGACACTTGCTCGATCAGCCGCCCGTGATGCGACACCACCTGCTCGTGCAGCTGCTTCTCCAGAACCGCGATACCCTGCCGGAGGTGCGACAGGTCATCGGAGACTGTGTTCTGTCGCACAGACCCTCGCACGAAGTCCTTGGCGTCGAAGTCTGGCCGCACGAACTTGCTGAGCGTGTCGTCTCCTGCTGTCCCCACCACCGACGCTGACGAGTGAAAAGCCGAACCTGCCGACCCCTCAGCATGTCGCATGCCACCCCCACCCTTCCTCCAACACATCCATGGCACTCCCCTCGCTCCCTCCTTCCCTCTCCTCTCTCCCTCTTCTTTTCTTCCCTACTCATCTCCTTCCCTCCCCCCCCCAACTCAACCAGCCACTTCTTCTCCTCCCTTCCCTG